ATTGGCCTTTTTTCTAGAAATGGTCCACTAATTTGGCAGACATCAAACTTGATACAATAAGTTGTAAAATTCATCATTTTTAGTCCATAAGCCTACGTGGCGTTTTATCGGGCAAATACGTAGACAAGTTTGATGTTCGCCACGTAGGCTCGTTATCCAGCCCGAGTGATTAATGAACTAAAAATGATGAATTTTACAACTTATTGTATCAAGTTTGATGTTTGCCAAATTAGTGGACTATTTCTGGAAAATGGCCAATATAATGGACCAAAAATAAAATTTTGCCCAAGTTAGTGTATGCATTGTACTTCATCTTTGAATATTTTCCAATTGAAGAACTTGAAGGTACTTCTTAACATCTTCATTGGTCTCAAGCTCCTAGTAGAGCTCAAAATCCAACACCATTGGAGGCAAAACCCGCGATGCTTGGAGAAGTTCATAGATGAGACACTCGATGCCGCTTAAAATCTTGAAAGGCGCGACATGGAGAAGTCAGATTTTTCCATTGGTGGAAGCTCTCGAGTAAGTTCATCGGTGGTAGCCGAGACAAGTTGTGTCTCGAAACTCAGTCCCACCTTCCCCACATTCTTTCTCTTCTTTGGTTGTATGGATGTTAAATTTGCTCGTTAATAACTAAACTCAATACTCCAACAAAGGCAACTCAACTCGCCAACCAATAATCCAATCAATAATCCGTGATGGAGATCGTCTTAACTTTGTCGAGTCGTTGACGTTATTGTCACCATTTCCTTTAAAGAATCTCATGTAACATCATTTGAGATGCTGAACTGTAACGTTATTGTCAGAACGACTTGATGAGGCTTTAGATAATGTGTGTAACAAAACTAAGATATTCTCTTACAAGTAACTATCTTAATATTTATCTTTTAACAGAAGATTGCATGAAATTTGTTTGGTTCATATGTTTGTGTACAGATAATCTTGTTTGTGTACAGATATCTGAGTTATAATTTCCAAAATAAACATCATTCATGGGAAAGAAAAACAGAGAGAAGGAAACCAATTTTCCCATAAACCCAAAAGAGACTAAATAAAAAAGCAAGCTAAGCTTAAAAGATGAACACTCAAACTAACTTGAAAGTTTAATTCGAAAAACAGAACAAAACTTGGTTTGAAGCCTACATATATAGAGTTAATTATTCGATCAGGGAAGCCGCTCGAGGCAATGGAGCTTGGGGAGCAAGTCGCGCATCAACCAGCCCGACATAATCCGGTAACCTTGTTGGGTCATGTGTATCCCATCCCAGCTCACGTACCTATGAGGCTTCCTACAAACCGGAACTCCGAGGGCCCCACACATTCTGGCCGTGTTGAAATTGTACTTTCCCCCAATCCCACAGCACGCCCTCTCCGAATCCATTCCTGCACGCAATATTTATCTTGAATTTTAGTCATTCATCTACAGATTATTTGTCAAGTATTAGCTAATATATTAATTTATGTACCATGATACTTTGCGAAACGAAGGAGGAACTCGTACGCCCTGTAGTAATCGGCGTACACAATGATTGCATTCGGCTTTTCTTCTTGGATCATCTTGTTAATCCCGTTCTGAAGCTCCCGATTGTGGTACTCTGCAAACTCGTTTAGGTGCTTCAAGCATCGGTTATTGTCGTATGCGGATGGATTGTTCGTTTGGAAAGCCGTCTTGTAAATGGGGATGCAGCCGACCGGGAAGTTCCCGGGCACCACAACCCTCTTTGCCCCCAACTCAATTGTTCTCTGCAAAGTAAATATTGGTAAAAGCATTAAGTAAGGAAATTACTTCCTAACTAAAATACATCAATTTGTTCATATTCATTAATTAGGACGACTTACCCTAACACCATTGAGAATGGCTT